TCCAGGAAGTTCTGATAATTCTTCCATATGATGGATATTGGAACTGTTCCTTTCTATTTCTATGGCTACAATCTTTGAGGATCAGTTGGCACGGTCTCAGATCATTAAACAGTAACATCTTAACCAGATTCTTGCCACTTGTCTGCCCTTGCATGTTTTTAGCACTGAGTACTTGTCATTCTTCTGCTCAGACTCCATGGCGTTTTGTTTCCTGAGCTGTGAGGAAGACCCTCTGGGCTACTTTTCTAAACTCTGACCAGCTGAAGTTCTCTCTCCTTAGTGTACTCTCTTCCATTACCCACACCCGTTGCTCACTGGCTTCATTTTTGTATACTTGCAACAGTAGTTCACCAATGACTGCCTTTGTTGAGAAAGCAACTCATCTTCAAGAAAGGTTTATTCTTTGATCTAAGAGGGTTTTATGCTCATTCTTTGCTCCACGTTTCTATCAGCTCTCTAGGACCGTCCTGGAATAATCCTTCTTTCTCTTCATCTACATCTTTCTCCTATGCTGCTTTCCTCAAGAAGTGGTCCTATGCTCTCCCAATCACACTTCCTTCTCTTCCTCTTGTAAATTATTATATAATTTATTATATAATGTTTTACTCATGTTGACACCTAATTGTACAATATGCTATATTAATATGTACAAGTGTTAGTAGTTTCTTTCCCAATTAGGTTATGAGGTTTTAGTAGACAAGACTTTTCTTAAATTAATTATACGTACCCTTTGGCACAGCTATTCACACACTTATCAAGCATTTAAAAAAGTCAATATAAAAATACATGAGGGCTTACTTATATTCACACCGACATCACTTTTTCACTTTATAAAAAAAGGGATTTATTAGAAACTTAATTTAAGTAGTAGCTCCTCTGTGTGGAAATGTCTTTAAGTGTTAGTCTACAATTACTAAATATTCATCAAAAGGCTAAGGTGGGAGTTACTAGGGGAAAATGTGGTAGCTCTGAAGTTAGAAGCCATCAATTACAAATCAAAAAGAAAGTAAATAATGAAAAATAGTCAATGAGAAAAATTTTGTACATCAACTTTTCAGAAATAATTTTGTTGTGTAACATGATTTACATTTTAGAAAAGATGTAGTCTGTGTTTTCATTTCTACCTTATTAGGCATGATCTTGACAAAGGATAATGTTTATGTTTGGTTTCAGATATAGCTCTGTTTGCCATTCACTGTGACCTTGGCCTGGTCATTTAATTTCTCAGTGACTTTCCCTCCTCATCTAGAAAACTAGATCATACTTGCCTGATAGGGTATTGTAGGAATAAATGAGGCAGTAAATAAAAGGCATTTTTATAAAGTATTTGCTGTCAGTAGGTGATCAGTCACTGGTAGATATTATTGCTCTTTATGCAATAGAGAATTCAGGGAAAGGGGCAAGAAGGACATTTTGAAAAATTTGGGAGGTACAGGCTAAGGTTGGGCTTCTTTATGTCTATTTGAAGACCCTTACGTGGCCTATGTTATGTTACCAAGTTTAAATTCTAGAATAATTTATCATCTTAACTACAGTGAGTTTTTTAGTAGGTAAAAAAATAGCATTCTTAGGGTTTAAGGTATTAGTTACAGGAGAAAAAACCAGAAGAGGAGTTAAGATTGGAGACTCCCCCCTAAAATGTTGTCCTCCTTTGCCACTGTACCACTTATTATAAGACTTACAAGCAGAACTATGTAGAAGAGAATTGCCTGAATAGGATCATGGTTGGTGGTGAAAACAGGGCAGTACTGGCGTTCATTTCACTGCCTCTTGTGAACATGGACTTGGGAAGATTAGCCAAAGAAACAAAGATTGATCTTCGGAGTATAAAGATAGTGATTTAGAGCTACTGCCTTCATCAGAGAATGGTCAGAATAAGAGACTTACTAGAGTTGACTGGGAGAATCCAATAAAGACCTCAAAATGGACTTGCAGGTTTTCATTTTGTGTTACTCAACTTCTCTTGTGAAAAGTTGCAAACAAGTTTTAAAGAAAATAAAACCTACATTTCTTAAAAATACTAATTTTTAAATGTGGTGATCTGCATAAACATAATAAAGGCAGAATTATTTCTATTAAAACTGTTTTAAGTCCAGGTAGAAGAATTCAATCTATCAATAGTTCATGGCACTCTAAAAAGAGCACCAGCATTTCTAGGTGCTGTCCCCTGAACTAGCTGGAAAACCAACACTTCTGAATGCCTTCTGTTATTTCTTAGGGGAAAGAATGTTATCAGCTTCAGTGAAACTCACAGAGAAAATTTTAGATGCAAAGCAATCTTTAAAATAAATAAAACAAGCCCTCCCTGGTGGCGCAGCGGGTTAAAGCACAGCACTGAGAATCTAAAGCCGCTTCCGCATGAGTTCGATTCCCGCCTGCCCGGGAGGAGACCACATGGCGTGGCAGACCTCTCCTGACCCGCCCGCTGCTCCCTTCAGCAGTGTACTTCGTCAATCTGCCTGTTCTGTTCCCCACTCTGTCTCTGGTGAAGCCTCTCACCGCCCCTGAGCCTCTGGCCTGTACCCCAGTTCTGTATGCATAAATAAATAAATCTTTAAAAAAAAAATAAATAAAACAGACCAAAGGGGAATGAAAGATTGTATCTGTTTGCAATAACAATAGGGCCCTCCCTGGTTGCGCAAGGGGTTAAAGCCCAGCACTACAAGCCGGCCCATAGCTGCTTCTATGCTAGTTAGATCCCCAGCACCAGGTGATCACAAGGCCAGGCAGACCTCTCCTGACTCACCTGCTTCTCCCCTCAGCCTGTTCTGTCCATCTGCCTGTTCTGCTCCCCACTCTGTCTCTGGTGAATCTTCTCAATCCCCTGCACCTCTGGCCTGTACCCCAGTTCTGTATGCATAAATAAAGAAATCTTAAAAACAAACAAAAGAGTAACAATAGCTAGTGTTTCCTGAACACTTAGTATAAGTCAGGCTCTCTGCTAAGTATTTAAGCATGACTTCATTTAAGTTTTACAACATCCCGATAGGTATCATCACCCACATTAGATGCAGAAGAGTCAGAGATTTGCTCAAGGTGACTTAACTGGTAAATGGTGAATGACACTAAAATTTAAACCCGGGTTTCAGACATCGTGATGCCTCTTTGTGTGCATGCGATTAAAAAAAAGAAAACTTTAAAAATTGAGATACAGGAAAGCGGACAGATCTTTTTGCATATAGATTAACCCTTGTAGTCATTAACCAGATCAAGATAGTGAACTTTCCCAGCCACCCACAGGCTTCCTCACGCCTGCCAGTTACCCTCATTGGTCATCACTACTCTGCTTCTATTATCACAAACAGGTTTTAGTTAAGAGAAATCCAGGGTTTTTCTTTCTATCACCAAAAGATTCCTTATACCAATCTTTCATCTTGTTATTTTAGCTGTAACATTCAAAGCTACTCTAGCTTTCACTTTTCAAACTCACTGGAGGGACTAGAAGTCAGACATGACTTCATATTCAAATCCTTGCAATTAATACTAGATTTTTTAAAAATAAAAATAATTCGTGGATGAGCCAAAGTCAAAGGACTCGTCATATAAAGCAATCTATCTCAGAAACATCACAGACACAGGTTCCTTGGTGGAAGTAATCTGGGCATGGATTCCCTTCCAATATGGTATCCCATTAGTAAGGGATGGCCGTGCAAGGTCGCCCTGCGTTATGGAAGGGAACACTGGCCAGGCAGCCGTTGTTTGGCATCATCTAGAGCGCGCAAAAAGATTTATGTCTTAACTATCTCCCACGGTTGACTCGACGTGGAAGGGATTGGGGAAGAAGCTTCTGTTGGAGGGTAGCGTAGCGGGGAAATGACTTTCCGTGCGCCTTTGGGTCTGGCTTGCTGAGCCCTGCCAAAACCCACAGCACTGCTTATCCAAGCCCGCGAAGACTGAAAACAGCGACACAACTTCAGCTCGGCTTCCCCGTCGTGGCTGTGAATTTGCAGAAATCATTCCAGACAACAAAGTCTTCCTTCTCGGTTCTTCCCCCGCCCCCACTGCTGGTTTTGCACCTCATCCTGATTCCCTCCACCGCCAACGCGGCCTTCGGAAGCAGCCTCCTAAATGGCAAGGGGCTTCACGGAGAGGGTAGCCGACGTCCGTCGGGGTCTGAGACTGGGAGAGAAGGGCGGGTCAGGGGAGCGGGGCGGGTTCAGAGGACCGCTCGGGCCATCAAAGCGGGACAGGCCCAGAAGTGGGCGCACGTGACAGCAGCACCTCGAGAGTGACATCACCCTCGGGGGCGGGGCCTAACTATCCAGGGCCTGGTCGGCTATTGAGCTTCCTCCCCTCTCGCCCACGAGCCGCCTCCGAACCCCACCCGTCAAAGCCCCCCCAGGAGGCCAGGGATGCCGCGACCTCCCAGAGCGGCGCGGCCGGGGCCCAAGCCCTCCGCGC